AGAAATGGCGAGAGAAACTCAGTAGATTTGGCAGCATCTGTGGAGAAGAAAGCAGAGCTAGAATTAATGTTTCGATTTTAGTGACCATGCTTCAGAAATGAAAGCATCTAGGAAAGTGATATTTAGGTTGATGACAGGAGGCAGGGGTCCCCCACCTATGTGGGATTAGGATGCCAGTTGGTCAAGTGGTTAAGAGCCAGGAGAATGATACCCTAACCATGCTATGTTGGGGATGGGTTATGTTGGGTCTAAGGATTCAGGTTAGCCACCGGTTTATTGGATTTGGGGTGGGGTAGTTGGAATCTCAGAATCATCTTGGCTGGGGTGTGTAAAGGGTTAGAATTGAAGTTGAGGGCATGAATTTAAGTTGAGTTTTCAGTTTAACAATTACCCAAGAGTTGGAGTATTTTGTTTTAAAAATTCTGACTTTTCCTGGGTAGTTATTAATATAACTGTTTGTGGTGCTGGACTGCTTTTGCTGTTGGGTATGAAGTGAAATAGAACTGAATTTACCATCTGAAACTGCTGCTTCATGTTCGGATCATGTTGACAGAAATTAAAACAAAAAGTTGAATGCTTAGAGAAGGTTTAAGCAGGGGAACTGGCCATCAGAATTTTCAATTTCGTGGGCAATTCCCACAATCAGCTATGTCTGGGATTCTGCAAGGTCTCAATGCGCAACCCCAGTTTTTGCTGCAGAAATGACTCTCTCGTGATCGGAATGTTGGACCATACTTCACTAATTATCTAGCAGCAAACAAGAACATTTACATAGTCTATAAAGCATATGTAAAAGTTTTCAATCAATCATGTACATCATCAAAAAGGTTAATAGATGTGTTGAAACGTAATGTTGATAGTGAAGATGAGATTTATCCAGAGCCAGTTGTGGAGAAAATAGGAAATCAGGCTAGGAAAGATAATATCAGAAAAATTACAAGTGAACATAAAACTATAACAAAACTATGCACTGTCACCAAAGTTATGGAATTTCTCCATGGAAGAATATGTAGAGAATTAGATGTACTTCTCAGATAAAAATTGGAAACAAGATTGTAACAAATTTGTGAAACACTAACAAAGCAACACAACTTGCAGAAACAGAAGAATTCCTACAAAATATCATAGATCAAGTAAAATGTAAATGTTTAGAATATAGAGTATAGACACCAAAAAGACAAAAACAATGGTAGTTAAGATGGAATAGATTAGAAGAAACTGGAGTGAATATCAAAGTTAGTGTTACATTGGAATAAGTTAATGAGTTTGTCTATTTTACTACAAATGATAACAGTAGATGACATATATGATGTCAATGCTAGAGGGTAGAAGTAGCCAAAAGTAATTTTGTGAAGATGAAGGATTTGTCAATACTCAAGCTTGTAACAAGGAAAAACTCATAAGGAGCTACATTCTATCTTTGTGCCTCAGAAAGTTTAAAATGAGTAAAGATCAATGGAAGAGACCTTTGAAATGCTGAACAAAAACAAAGTTGCTGGAAAAGTTCAGCAGGTCTGGCAGTATCTGTGAAGAGAAAAAGAGTTAACCTTTTGGATCCGGTGACCCTTCCGCAGAACCTTTGAAATGCTGATGCTGAGACACAAGCTAAAAATTCTGTGACAATGAAGAGGTACTTGAAACTGCAAAAGCAAAATGAACTTAAAACATCAGTACTTTTTGGCCATTTGATCAGAACTGAAAGCTACGGACACCCCTTCAAGTAGGCAAAGTGAAAGGCAGAAGGACAAAGGGTTGACACTGGCATTTTTAAAATTGAGTAGTTGCAGGCAAAGTTCAATAGATGTGAGACAAACCATGACAGCAGATCTCCAGGCAGGCATAGCTAAAATTACCAGCTGCAACTGAAGGGAGGGAACGCCTCTGGCTCTACTATACTAAGATAAAAAAAATCCCTATTATTTATTGCTTTCATATCTCCATATATTACAAGATAAATTTAGGTTAATTTTATATATAATTAACTCCAGGAGTGCAATTGCCTCAGGATTGCACATCAGTTTCTCAGATGCCCCGATTTATCTACAGCTAAAACTCAAAGCCTTATTCATAAATCATGAACCAGATTTTTGCAATGTCAAGGGAAATGAAACGGTGACCAAAGACTGATGACAGTGATGGTGACAGCCTTGAAGACGGCGGTGGAGCATTATAATAAGGAACCTCTTTTAAATCTGTTTGAAATGAGCAAACTATTTCTTTCATCCCACCAAATAAAATGACATTGTTCATTAAGGTGGTAATGAAATTCATGCTTAAAATTATACAAATAAATGATCAGGATACTGGTAATCAAAGAGGGAATGTTTGTTCATTTAGGAGATGTGTGTCACTTGCTAGCCAGTATTTATTTCCCATTCCTAATTACCCTTGAGAAGGTGGTGGTAAGCTACCTCATGGTTTCACTGCAGTTCATTTGTGAAGAGGAATGCTGACTGGGAGAATTTTCCAGGATTTTGACCTGGTGATAGTAAAGGAACAGAGATAGATTTTGAAGATTGAATAGTGAATGGCTTGGAGAACCTGAGGTGGTAGTCTTCCTATGTATCTTTTGCCTTTGACCTTCTAGATGAAAATGGTCATGGGATTTCGAAAGTGTTCTCTAAAAGGAGCTTTGGTGCATTTCTGCAATGCATCTTGTAGATGTTACACATTGATGCTCCAGTGCATCTGTGATGGAGGAGTGAATGTTTGTGGATATGGTGCCAATCAAGTAGGCTGGATTATTCTGGAGGGTGTCAAGCTTTGAGTGTTGGAGCTACTGTCATCCAGGCAAGTGGGGACAATTTCATCACACTCCTGACTTGTATCTTGCAGATGGTGGACAAGCTTTGATTAATCAGTGGGTGAGTTACTTGCTACAGGATTCTTTACCTCTGGTACCTGCTCTTATAGCCACAGTAATACAAGTAGTTCATACAGTGCGGAGCCAGAGGAACACAAGAGGCCAGGCAGCATCAGAGGAGCGGGGAAGTTGACGTTTCGGGTGGGGACCCTTCTTCAGAAATGGGGAGTGGGAAGGGAGCTGGGAAATAAAGAGAGGAGGGGTGGGGCTGGGGAAGGTAGATGGGATGGTGATAGATGAGTGCAGGTAGGGAGTGGTGGGGATCGGTCAGTGGAATGGGTTGGGGAGATAGGTGGGAGAGAAGATGGATAGGTTGTGGTCAGGTCAAGGAGGCAGGGATGAGAGGGAGAGTTGCACATGGGATGAGGCCGGGGGTGGGGAGATTTTAAAAGTGGTAAATTCCACGTTTAGGCCATCGGGCTGTTGGTTCCCAAGGCGGAATATGAGGTGCTACTCCTCCAGTTTGTGGGTGGCATCATTGTGACACTGGAGGCGGCCCAGGATGGACGTGTCACCCAGGGAGTTAAAATGGTTGGCGACCAGAAGGTTTTGTCATTTGTCGCGTACAGAGCGCAAATGCTGTACAAAACCGTCTCCGAGTCTCTGCTTGGTCTCACCAATGTAGAGGAGGCCACATTGGGAGCAATGGATACAGTAGATCAAGTTGGTGGATGTACAGGTGAACCCCTGTCTGATATGAAAGGTTTGTTTTGGGCCTTGAACGGAGGTGAGGGGGGGCCGGTGTAGGGGCAGGTGTAGCACTTCCTGCAGTTGCAGGGAAAGGTGCCGGGTGAGGTGACGAGTCCGCTTCACACTCCCCACTAAACCCACCACATCCTGTCCCCACATTGTGAAATCATCAACAAACTTCTGTACTTGGGCTTTAAGTTGGGGGAAGGGCATTGATGAACATAGGAACAGGACATTCAGATCATTGAGCCTGCTCTGCCATTTAGTAGGAACAGGCTGATAGAACACCATAAATGCCTTTTGACAATACTATCCCCATAATCCATTACTCCACTGGTAATCAGAAATCTATCAATCTCTCCTTTAAACATACTCAAAGATTGAGCTTTCACAGCCCGCAGGAGTAGAGAATTCCAGATTTACAATCCTCATCTCGATCCCAAGTGGCATCTCCTTTATTTGTACATTGTACTCCTGTTCTAGACTCTCCAGCCAGGAGAAACTCAGCTGCATCCACTCTGCTTATCCATTTAAACATTTTGTAAGTTTTAATGAGATCACCTCTCACTCTTTGAAATTCTAGAAAATGCAGACCCAGTTTACCCAAACTTTCCTCATACAACAGGGACAAGCAGAATGAACCAATTCAATACCAGTTAATCAGAATCATACCAGGCTCAAAAGTGTTAACTTTGTCTCTCCATAGATATTGCCTGACCTGCTGAGTTTCTCCAGCATTTTGTGTTTGTATAGTGAACCTTTGTTGCATTCTCCCTCAGACAAAGAGACAAAAATTGCACACTGTATTCCAGATGCAGTCTATCCTGATCAGACAATAATTGGCTAGGTTGGATTTGTCCTGCTGTATGTGTGCTGCACATACCTGAAAAACCTTCCACATTGTCAGTGTTGCAGCTGCAGTGGAACAGCTTGGCCAGGGGAGTGGCAAGTTCTGTAGCAAAAATATTCAGTACTATTGTTGGAAAGTTTTTAACAGTCTATAGTTTTTGCAATATCCAGTAACTTCAGTTGTTTCTTGATTATCACAGAGTGAATAAAATTGGCTGAAGGCTGGCATTTGCCATGCTGGCATTTGCCATGCTGGCAACCACTGGAGGAGGCAGAGACTGATGATTCACTTGGCACTTCTGGCTAAAGATTGTTGCAAATGCTACATACGTATCTTTTGCCCTGACATGCTGGGTTCGTCTATCAATGAGTAAAGGGATATTTTTGGGGCAACCTCCTCCACTGATTTGTTTAATTGTTGATCAACTGATCCATTGGCTGAGAAACTGCTTAGCCTGTTTGTCCCTTGCTGTTTATGCTGTTTGGTATTCAGGTGGTTAGATGTTACAATTTTATCAGGTTGACATCCCATTTTTAACTATGCTTAGTGCTGCTCCTGGCAAGCCCTCCTGCACTTTTCATTGAACCACTGCACTGGTAAAAGAGAGTTCAAAAACTTTATTGAGCCATGACCTGATTAGAATATGCCAGATGATAACCAATATTGTACAGAAAGTTGTACATATTTTTACATAGAAAACTTTACATGTCTGTACCATATACATTTTAACCTTCTCCAAATATTTATTTTCTACATCCACAGTGACTAGGAATGCTTGGAACTCTGTGTATCCATTTTTTTTTAATTAAAGCCCATTTCACAGCTTCTTAATAATTAGATTTCAGTAAATGTCATCATCCCAACCCTAAACTGATTCATTATTCAATATATTTAATTTAACATCAAATTTTATACATAGACAGTAGAACCTACATCAAACATGGAGACAGTTTTATGTCAGTGCAAATGCACCTCAGATCAACCTGCAGTGATTCAAGTTCCAGTTGATAAGGTCAATCCATTTTTTTTTAATAACAGGCCCTAGTCTGTATTATACAGTTAGGGGAAAACCTACCTTTATTGACAGGGTAACCATTCTGCTAATTACATTAACACAACAATCTTAGTGCCTCTTCCCTCTAATAATTGTCCACACACCCCAGCTTCCATTACAACTGCACAAGCAACATTAAAGTAAATTTAAAATAAATCACAAAGTCAAAAGCAAAACAACCCAGTGCACACAATGAACAATAAAATAGCTGTAACCGCAGAAAATCAACATAAAATACTGAAATAAAAGAAACCCATTGTGTAAGAACTACATAGTGTTAATATCATACTTTACAGATTTATATTTCTGTACAACAGATTCACAGAAGGATGGTCATTGTAATTTTAATGGTCATGAGCTGTGCAAACAATAAAATAGTTACTGAACAATGTTCAACTGATCTTTGCTAGTATCTGTAACAATTGTAATTTAGTTATATCCTCCAACCTGCCTGTAAGATGCTACACGATTAGATTTCCCTTATAGCATATTGGCGCCAAATTCTTCTGCCCAGAAGTTTAAACTACAGTACTCATTTAAATATTTTCTCTACTTCACAATATGCACTGCATCCTGTCCGTGTTTGTGTTCGAGTCACAGTGTTCTCCACACTAAACTGCATTTCAAACAGTGACCATACCACAAAATGCTGATTCCATGCTCAGCACGTGTCAGCATTTAATCATTACCTTGAATCATTCGGATAATTAATTCAATGAAATAGAGCATTTTAAACTAATATTACAGCTCAGTCATCTGCATCTTTTAGGCAGGTTACAAACCAACAGAATTAAAGCACCATCCTTTACAAAAAGATCAAGAAAGGATCGAGGCAGGAGTGAGTGAGTCAAAGTAACCAACTGCAGCCTAGTCCTTTTCCGATTTATAAACAGAATGCCTTAGCCAAGACCTCAGTCATCATTGCAGCTTGTTGGATCCATGCTCTTGGTCTGAAGGATGAGATATTTTAAAGACTACACCAATGCGGAGATAAAATTTGCGTAGAACAGCTCTCAATTCTGGAATCAAATTAAATTGCATAATTTCACACAAAAGGGGATAGTACTTCGATGCATGGGCCTTGAACTGGAAAGAAATAAAAACAAAAGGATAATTAAAATATTGAAAAAAGGGATTGCAAGGTATTATCATCCACATTTTAAGCCGAGATAATCCATGTCCCCAATACTTCACCATGACTGAACCTCTACCATTGTTTTCCTTTTTAAATGCAGCTTCTCCCTTTCAAATAAAGTCTGATATATTTATACCTCATGCTAATTTCTAACATATGCCAGATCTTCTGATCATCCCCTTCCGTCTAAACTACATTGGTTTTAATGCATTTATATTTTGCACATTTTCTCCTCTATGGGTACTTTGATATGTGGGCGTTATAGATCCTATTAACCTCGCGTTTTAATAAACTGGCTTTATCAAAATGATTCTAGTTCACTGAGGAAGCATTAAGCACTCAGGTTTCCTATTAATGAGAATTTACAAGACTGAAGTAGTTCTGGAAAAAGCTATCACGTATTTATTACCGAGCTGGACATAATGTAGTGCAAAGTGTTATTAGAAACTCAGCTGTGAAATACTGTAAACTGCTTTAAAACTTCAAAACTGCATAACAGGATGAGTTTTCAAAATTTATAAGTCCCCAGCCAAATGCACTTCACTTCCAAGGACAACTCTGCTAGATAATAATTTAGGCATTTTAAAATTATTTCAAAAGGAAATAAATTGCTCAGAACAGCTATGATTTGTGGTTAGTGTAAATAAGAAAATCATAAAACAGATGGGGCTCAGCAGTAGAAATATGTATAGAGAAAAAGGCTTAATTTGTAATTGACAATAACCTCCACCTTGTGATCAACCACTAAAAAGACAATATAAACAAATAACTCATGCTAGCCCTTGCACAAATAGGCAATTTTAATTCTAAACCTTACCCTTTCATCATTTATTTTGAGGACTTTAGTTAAAAAAAGTAGAAGAAGATTGGTCCAGGCCTCCCGGTGACTCTCTGAGGTAAGTGTCAGGAAGTAGCTGAGAGCTTCACTGCAAACACTATTGAAAGAAAATTGCTGGTGTTAGTTACATCTGTAGTTTTGAAGAAAAATGTAAACAACCTAGTTAATAACCTAACTTTTTTTAGCTCTTTAACTTGAGCTTAACCATCTTGGGTCAAATTATACACCATTTTAAAATTAAAGGTTTGCTTTCTCCTCCTGTCTTCAAAGCTTCCTCATGCCAAACACTATATGGTAAGTAGCTGATATTCAGGCATCTGATATTCCATTGATTAACAGAGTTAATATCTGCATGTGAAAATTAAAACTGGAGGGGAGTATATCTTAAAAATAGTTTGTATGAACAAGCTACAATCGGTGGATGATGTGGGGAGGGAGCAATACCTGACTGACTCAAACCTATCTTTCAGAAGATTTGGAATGTGGGGTTGTAGCAGTTTGAAAGATAAAAAAACTGCAACAATTTCAAAGTTGTTTATGAAAAATGAATATTCAACTAGCAGTGGCTAAAATAGGGAAGACAACAAGGATTGTTGCAGAATACAAAGAAAATGGAGTTCCAAGGAAGGGTCACCGGACCCAAAACATTAACTCTGGTTTCTCTCCATAGATGCTGCCAGACCCACTGAGTTTTTCCAGCAGTTTCTGTTTTTGTTTGTGACAAAGGAAATGGAACAATTTCCAGTGAGATCCTGATTGGCTCTGAAGCCTCACACATGCCTGAGAGGGGGAGTGTGTGTGCTTTTTTTCCCCCCCCCATTCCTTCACAGGATGTAGATCTTGTTTTGTTGAAAGTGGTGATGAGCTGCCTTCTTGAACCACTGCAGTCCTTAGAGTACAGAGACACTCTCTACATGTGATGGAAGACAGCCCTCACTACGGCTTGCATTCAAGAAAAATTGCTTTATACCTTGTGAAAAAGATTAGCAGTTCTTTATAAGTACAGAAGTACAAAAAGCTGTTTGCATCAATTAAAAGCAATAATTGACCAACTAAAACAATTTTAGAAAGTAGGGCAGTTGATCATAGCTATATTATTGTAAAGTATTTTCTGCTTTTGTTAAAGCAGGTTAAAAACACAGGGAAAAAAATTACTTAGCTCCTTGATTCTGAAAAATCCATTCAGTAAGATCATGGCTGATCTGCAACTTAACTTCACATATCCATCTTTGCCCTTTTCTCATAATATTGAAAGATAACAATCTAACTAATCTTAGATTTTGATTCGGACTGTGAGAGAAATGAATCTGCTCACTTGTAGAATGGATAAAACAGGCTTGCTAAAACATTTCAGCGGAAATTGTTCAGATTAAAAGAGACTCAAAAGTGGGGGGAGAAAACACAAAGGACAGATTGAATTTATCCTAGGATACAGAAGGAAATAGTTGAATTTCTTAATGACAGTAAGCACTTTAACACTTTATGGAGTATTCAAAAAATGCTGGATGATTGGATTCACTGATTTTTGAAAAACTCATATCATTTCTTGGTGACTATAGATTGCTGATCTTAAGAACAGGAAAATACATGAAAAGTACCTAGCTTGCTTGGGGTTACTGGATATGGTTAACCACGGTTTCAGAAAACACATCTGGCCTAGTTTAAGAAATTATCAAAATAGCTGAATATCATTTGCTTGAATTTAGAAAATACTAAGTGTAATGGCAGAGAAACTGTTAAAATTAATCCCATATATACTCAAGGGATAGAGAGCTGGATCCCAAATTGCATAAAGACCCTTAAGTAAATGTTTAGTTTTAAATTTCCAATGTGATTTTATTGATTATAAAATGGGAAGATTTGCAAGTTGTTCTATCGATCTGAAGGACAGCATAAATAGAATAATTAGTAATCAGGGTTGATAAGAAATTGGTCCATAGTCTGGACCATGGAAAATCAAATGTATTAAAACCAGATTGGATGGGCTGGAAATATTAGCTGATACTAGCAAATATCCTCAAATGTAGATGGTACTTGGTGCAATGAAGACAGGGATACAGTACAAGGGTAGGTGAGTATGTTATGGCTTAGTCGATAATATTATAGTTATACAAAGCTTTGGGGAATCAGCTAAAGTATGTGTGCACTTATCTCCCCACCACCAAATTGTTAAACTGAAACATTACTGAAACACAGAAGTGAAGGCATGAAGAGATTTAGGCGTGCAAAGGAGATTTTTACATTGAAGAAAAGCAACAGCCAATGTATGTCCTCAAGGACGTCAATGATGAATGAATTTGATTTGGTGAGAGATAGGAAACTGGCAGAAGAATTTTAGGGGAACTGAAGACGACAAAGGATAGAGGCTGAGGAACCAGTCAACGCATAGATAATTGGAAAATTTGAGTCTAAAAGTGACAAAGACATGGATAAGATGGACAATCACACAGAAAACACAAAATGCAATGAACCTGTATGGTCACTATTGAGTTGCATCCCCACTATGAAAGTTAGAGGTTTGCTTTGGGATGACAATTTCTCTGCAAAATCTCATCTCTGGAAACACAAAGTTAAAGTAAAAGAAATGTAAATTTTGAAAGAATGGAAAGTTCTGAAAAATATATAAGCTGATCAATATCTGGAGGAGAATTAATGAAGAACTACGCTAAAAACATTCAACTATCTTCCTCCTTTAGTACCTAATCAACTTCTGGTTGCAATCTGGCTGAAAATTAATCATCCCTGATATCAAATCTTCAAAGAAATAATGGCAACCCGAAAATTACAAATGCAATACCTTGATAATGTTAAAATCAAACTGTTCAGCTCGATGAATCTCCCATCTCACCTTTAGTTCTCAGCGTACTATCATTCGAACAACAAGCCTCAAAGCTCACAGACAGTTGGCTTATTCAATTACAGTCATAGGAATTGCTACTTACTTTAGTAATCGTTGCTGAACTTCCACCCAAGCATCACGACGGTTTTTATCGGTGTACATTCGAAATAAAATACGCAGGCCACAAGCAACACTACTGGTTTCTTGTTTCAAAAGATTAGGCTTTGATTTACCTTTGAACCCTGGATAGGTAGAAGGAAAATAAACACTTGTTTTAACAAACCTTCTGAAATTGTCAATAAAAAAAATTCAGTTCCGAAAAGAAGATCGATATTTTCCATCGACAGTAATCTCTCAAATAGCTTATGTTTGATATATGTCCTATTGTGGTCGATATTTCTTGTACAAAGATCATGCTGTTTACCATGTTACTTCTACTTGCAACACACAACATTTTTGTAAAGAGAATCACAATTATAAATCAAATAAAATTGAATTTGATTGAAATTAATCTCACGAAGAACTTCTGAATAAACTCAACAATTTACCATTATTATTATTATCGATGTGCCTGACGTGCTGAGGACTACTCTTGTTTTCAAACATTTGGCCTTAACATGGCTTTCAACATGGAATTGCAGACCATGGTGTAGATGAATTTCTCTACTGTTCCCGTGATGGTAGTATAGCTAACCACATGACAATTATTAGACACATACCTGCTTTCCATAATGCGGTCCTCTGTTCATTGTTAGAGTTGAAGGACTTGGCAAATCGATGAGACTCAAGTAGGCAGTCTAGGAGCTTGAAAAGCTGTTTTGAAGTTAGGTAGCGATACATTCCCTGGTCTTGTTTTTCAACATGCACATCAGTATTGATTGCATCTCTCTGTAAATGGTAAAGGAATCGTTGAATTTGTGTATTCTCATTACTGGTTCTGACCTCACATGTTAATACAGTACACTGCAAGCCTGAACGGCAATACAAACAGAAATTAAGATGTATCAATGACTGGAATATTCATTGCCTTTATTATACACCACTCGGTCACACCATTAAAATGAAAACTAAGACCATGATTTTGGTGGGGATCAGGTGTGGTGGGTAAAAATGTAGTAAAGCTATTTCATAAGACCTATACTCATACTCAATGAGATCATGCCAAATTTCTAGATCACTGCTGCTGTCCCTGTAATCTTGACTTAAATAAGTTATTGCCACATGAAATACTTACCTACAAAACTTGACCAGCAGAATGGAAAGAGAATACAGAATCTGAACAGCTAGTAGTTCTTGAAAAGTTACAAATTCTAGCTGTGTTTGAATGTGACATTAAAGTTGACTAATTAATAATAATGTGGGCATTACTGCTACCTTTGATGTAATGTGGGTTGGAGGTATGGCTGCAGGAAGCATTCCAATAACAACTTAAAAACATACAAATAAAATAAATAAAAACTTGAATATATAAAGCATTCTTCAAATCCTCAAGATGTCCCAAAGTTGATTAAATAGACTTTTTCTATAACTGATTGAATGGAAACCTTACTGTTCTTATGGGCTAAGGGACTGGAACTCGGATTTTTGACGTGTTTACCTAATGTACATTGTTTTGCAAAGTTGAACAAGCAAACACGGAACTTTGCATTTGTTTGATACCCTGCATATGCAAGATAGATACCAGTGGTCCGATAAAACCAAGTTGCTCACAAATTTCTCAAAAGTTGAAATTCTGATCACAATTACCAGCAGAAGCAGGAGTCAGGAAAGCGGTCGGGAAATTTCTTGTTCAGAAAGTGACAGTTGGGATAACAGGCTGTTTAAATGACACAATGTGACTAACGTGACGTTATTCATTTTGGACTTGAAATGGGAAGTGCAGAATTCTAAATAAGGAAAAGCTGGAAATAGAACTCTGAAGAGAAATGTCTTGAAGAGGCATAGAAAATGAACAGACTAATGGAATGCTAATCTTTATTTTTGGAGATGTATAGTGAAGGGGGGGGTTACTTAAGTCATTTTAGAAATAGTAAGCCCTGGTCCAATCATACCTCGTGTACCACGAAAGGTTTTGGGCACTGTATACCCAAGGAAGAGTATACCGGCCTTGGAGGGATGCAGCATAGGTTTACTAGAATGACACCTGGACTAAAAAGGTTAAATCACAGAGAAATTAGAAAATGTAGGGTTCCATTCCCTAGAATGTACAAGGTTAAGGTTGATTGGATTGAAATGTTCAAGATGGGTAGAATTATGATAAACTATTTGGGAAGTCTAGGACTGAGAGCAAAAGGCAAAGTTTTACAGCCAAAACTCTCAGGGGTGAAATTAGCAACCCTTCTTCAAACAGGGACAGAAGGTTGGAATGCACTTCTGCAAATGGCAGTCAATAGTAAAATCATTAATTTTAAAATTAAATTGATAAATTTTGTTAGCAAAAGATATGAAGGAATACTGAATCATTCAAATGCTATCAAACAGTTCAGAAAATAATCACAATGGCTAATGAAATGTGTGCCTTCACACAGTTACATTTTACTGGGATAGAGTGTTAGAATTTGAACCCCACTATTCCCAAAGCCATCACAAAACTTAAAGATTTTATGAAGTGTGCAAAGTTCCCCAATTTACCTACTTTTAGGCCGAGATTAATAGAAAGTATGGGCCAGATTTCTGTACTGAACAAGAATCACTATTTGTTTCAAGTAATTAGACTCTAGCTACATGTAAGCAGTTATAAACTGCTCGCATATAACACTATTAATTGCAATTCTAATCCGTTTATAAACTCTCCCATACACACATACAGACAGACAGACAGGGGAAAACTGGAGAGACAGAAAAAGGAAAGTCTTTGTTCCCAGGTCCTATTGTTGAGATAGTCCTTATGATGCTTCTGCTGGCCAGCAAGTTGTTTCAGTCATCTTTTTCGGGATGCTTCCACTGGTTGGTAGCTGGTTCACTCAAAAATTCTGACTTGTCAGTTGAAATTCATAGCTAACAACTGTCACAGGCAAGATAAACTGGTGCTCTTCAGGTCAGAGAGAGAACACTCCCAAGCTGGAGAAAAATTAAACTCTCTCTGTAACCTGTACCCAGCTCCAAGCTGTTCACTCGTCCAAGAACCAATCACACAGTTGGCAGGCAAGAAAGGTATCTGCCATTGATAACTGTCACTAGTCCATAGATCAATTGACAAGGAACAAGTGGACTGAATGGCCAGTCTCTGTGCCTAGGTATATATTTTTCTAAACTAACAATGTTGCCACAGAATTGGAAATAAAAGTACATACTTGGTGATTTCAAAGAAGTTAGATATTACACTGCAGTGTTGCTTTAAAACTAGAAGGTACTAAGACAGTTTTTAACAAATGTTGAATTTCTTAAAATGCTTGTTTGGAGGTTAATTGCTGTAAAACTTTAAGACACTTATTTAATCCACATAGTAAAAAGCTTTACACTTTGCAAAAATCTCATAACTGGCCAATACCTGAGCTGCAGCCAAGTTCTCAGCATCTTCCTTTTTGCTGGTTGCAGGAAAGAACACAATGTTATCGATTGTCTGAATTAACTCGAGTTGGACAACACATTTAATGAGAAGTGCAGCAAACAACTTCTGCTCTGACAGTTCTGAAAGGAAATAAAGAAATAATTTGATCGTTTTCATTTTTGAACTTGTACAATTCAAAATACAATCAAACTACTTATAAATACTAACTATATAGATAAGTTAACGAAGTGAATCATAAAATTTATGTAAATAACAGTAACACAAGGCTTAACATAGATAAATTCTATGAGTATTTGATCCTTTGTTTCAAACAGTTATAGCCACACATGGACGATTATAATTATTTCATTAGCTTAAACGATTTTCAGTTTTGTCACTGTAACCTCATCAGTTTTATTCTCAATTCAATGATTCTTAATTTCTTTTGCCAATCCTTGAGTCTGAACAGCTAGAAATTATTGAGAGCTGGATTGTGACATAATACAGGTTTGATCTTGCCCTTGCCAAAATCCAACATATTCTATACATAAACAGGGATTCATGGATAACTGAACAGTAGTTATTCAACCTGGGACTGATGAGATCACATGCATTGTGCCTGTACATTGAGCTAACCGAGGATTCACCAACTTAGCACAAAACAGAAATTGAACTCTCATATTCCTAAGAACATGTAACTTTTACACATTAAAAACTCTAATTACATAAACATATTGCAATACTCATTTCATACAATCATATTTTCAGGAATTTCCTTTTGGTAAAATAGATCCCTAATTTGGGGGATGGTGGAAAAATGCATCTGGTGAAAGTGAGGTTAAATGAACAGAAAATTAGTCCAGGAAAAATTACTTTCATATCCTTACTGCAAATTATGTCAAACTGACACAGATTTGTATGCATTTTGATTTTAATATCCTGCAAGAAACATGTGAAATATTTGGAAGTGTGATTTGTTTAGTTGTCAAAAACTCACTTGATGGTGTCTTAGCTTTAGCAGCATCATCACTAGAATTGGATATTAGACTAAACTGGCTCTGCTGCCAATCTGAAGGATTCCTCTCTGCACTGGTGACAGACTGTTGGTCATCACCTTTACTCAGAATGTCAACTGACTTTTGAGAAATGGCATCCTAGGAAAGGAAACAGACAAGAGCAAAATCAATATCATTGGATTTTTATATTAAAGAATTAAAGAAGCGATATTACTCCAAGCTTCAATTTATTACGTATGAATTTGAAACTGTTTTACTTCATGTCATGCACAACTATTACTCAGGTCTTGTATAATTTTTTTTGCGCAAGCTGATCTTCAGCAGCTTTACCAGTAACAAATTATCTTCTCTGAAACTGGCAATGGTTTTTGAATGGTTTAGCACCGAGTCTTGCATGCTTGAATAATCTTGATTATCTGTGAGATGACCTCAAAGCACCTTATATATTATATTTCACGAGATATATCTTGCAATCCAACCGGCAGTCAAAGTAAAAACAAACACATTTTTGTCAATTTTATTTTTCATTATAACAGTGATTTGCATTAAGGCCTTCATTACAATTTTTAAACTGTGCTTGGACTCGACATTTCTGTCTATAACTGTGAACCTGAGCATTTTGCAGCCTGACCCTCTGCAATTTTCCCAGACTCAGCCAGAGCTGCTAACATGATAATTTTTCCCAACTTCTTGATCAAACATTTTTCAGCTATTTGGAGAAAACCTGGATGAAAAAAATTTAAACTTCGTTCAGATAAAACTTCTGTTACGTTGTGAGACAGAGGCTGTATGAACATGAGATGTATCAACAGTGCTTGCTGATTATGAACTTGAAGGTTTTTTCTGTTAACTTTAGAAAGTGTATTAAGCTGAGATAAAAAGGAGAAAGGCCAGAAAAATGGGAGAGAGAGAAAAATAAAGTCAGAGACAAAACAATGCATCTTCATTTAACCTTACTGAATGCATTTTCTTAAGGTGAATTTTGAAAAAAAACTAATTATGTGCAGCTGTATGAGCTAAAAATTGGTGAGCACTAATTACATGCCACTGTAAATGTATGAATTTCTGATAAACATCAGAAGAAGGAAGGCAGATAGAATAAGAAAGGAAGTTGCCTAATGCGTTTACATTTTAAAAATGCATTTTGAAGGGTAATAAGCCTTTTATCAGAAGAAACAAAAGTGCAAGGGAGGGGAGAAATATGTAAAAATTGGGGCCTTTGGCCTGCTGTAACCAGCCCTTGCAGGAAATCAATGCGGGCTGTGTGGAGAGTGCACAGTATGATAAAAATGAGGTAAGTGACAAAGATGCATAGTTGAGCAGCAGATTAATTACTATGGGGCACTATTGAGAGTTTGGAGGACATTGCAGGATGACCTGAAGTTTTAGGTGTTAGAAAAGGCAAGGCCAGCCAGAACTATATGGGAATAATTAAGTCCAGAGGTGAGCACAGGTAAGAATGGAAACAGATTAAGTTTTCGAGGTGAATACAGGTAGTCTCAGTGATTACCCAGATATGTAGGTCAGAATCTCAAAGTCAAATGTGACACCTTGTTACAAACAATCCAGTTCAGCCTAAGACAGTTGCCAAGGACAGGGAAGGAATCAGTGCCCTGGGAATGAAACTTTTTGGCAGATTGAAGGCAATGGCTTTTGTCTTAACATACAGTCAAAGCAAGTTTCTTTTCATTCAGTACTGGAGATCAGATACAGCCTGATAACCTAGTAGATGGGTTGAGTAAGAGCTTGAGATAGAGCTGGTATAAGGAAGAATAGATTCATGAGATATGATAGTGTTTAACATTATTAGCTGGAGCAAGAGTGATTCGCTATGTCTCTGGATAGGTGAGAATGGAACCAAGTGAATACAGTCTTGGATGGAGAAGCGTAAGAGAGTGAAGATACTATCAACTATGCCAAATTATGTAAGGTCAAGAAGGACAAGGAGTGATCATTTATGATTGCTACAGTCAGAACGGATGTGATTTCTGACTTTTATGAAATTCATTTCAGTACTGTGCTAGGGTTGAAACATCATTGCAGGGATTCAAAGATGGAGTTCTAAAATTGATGGTCTTGAAGGTGAGGTGACAGCATGTTGATGAACTCTGGCGAAGAAAAGAGTGTAAATGGGGTGTTTTGGTAGTTTGCATGATCATAAGTCTGTAAGAAATAGCAACAGGAATACACCTTTCGGCCCCTCGAGCCTATTCTGCTATTTAACAGGATTATGGCTGATCTAACAATTCCTCCTGTCCACTCTCCTGCTCTTTCCTTACAGGCCTTGATTCCCTGACTGATTAACCATCTACCTCAGCCTTAAATATATACAAGGACTCTGCCCCCACAGCTCTCTGTGGAAATGAGCACCAACCTTGACAGAGAATAAATTTCTCTTCATTTCAGTCTTAAATTGATGCCCCTTAACTCTGAGGCTATGCTCTCTGCTCCTAGACTCTCCCATGAGGTGAAACATCCTCTCAGCATTTACCCTGTCAAGCCTCTTAAATTAGCCTTTGCTTATAAACATCCCCCCACACTAGGGATCATCCTCGTGAATCTTCTCTGAACTGCCTCCAATAAAATTACACCTTTCCTTGAATAAGGGGACCAAAACTGCTCAAAGTATTCCAGATGCGGTCACACCAGCACATTGTACAGTTGAAGGAAGACTTCCCTGCTCTTATACGTCAACCCCTTGAAATCAGGGCTAATATTCCTTTAGCCTTCTGATTACTTGCTGCACCCGAGCTAGCTTTGTGCTTGGTGCACTGTGCACAAGTACCCCCAAATCCCTTATGTTGCAGCTTTCGGCAGTTTTGCTCGATTTAATTAATGCACCGTTCTTTTGTTCTCCCTTCCAAAATGAGGAACTTCACATTTTCCCACATAATACTCCATTTGCCAGATTTTTGCCCACGTAACATTATCTCTCTGTAAACTGTTTGCATCCCTCTGACACCTGGCTTGCCACTTATTTTTATGAAATCTACAAATTTGGCTATAGTACATTCGCTTCCTTCCTGCAAGTCATGAATATATATTGTAAACAGTTGCAGTCCCTGCACTGATCCTTGTGGAACCCTACTACTTGCACGTCACCAACCTATAAAAGAACTCCTTATCCCCACTCATTATTTCCGGCCCATCAGCCAATTCTCTATCCATGCCAATAATATCCCATGTTGTTGGAGGTAGGGTATTTTATGACTTAACATTTGGTGAGGTACTGTGTAAATGCCTTCTGGAAGTCCAAATATAACATATGCACTGATTTCCCCTCTATTCACTCTGGTTGACACTTGCTCAAAAAATTTTAATATATTATTCAGACATAATTCCCCTTTAATGAAACCATGCTGACTCGGCTTGATGAAATTATGATTTTCTTAATAATTGATTCCAATACTTCTCCAACAATAGATGTTAGGCTAATTGACCTATAGTTACTTGCTTTTGCCTCCTTTTATGAATAGGGATGTCACGTTAGCAGAACAAAGAACAATGAAGAACAGAACAGGCCCTTCGGCCCACCAAGCCTATGCCAATTCCTAATTCTTGTTTAGTCCCGTACTAATTGCCTATACAATTTCTATCCTTCTATTTGCCTCCCATCCATGTATCTATCAAGATACACCTTAAAAATTGCTAATATGCCTGCTTCCACCATCGCCATTGGCTTGCATTGCACTGCCAATCAGGGCCAGGTATCATAATCCCTCTAATGCCATTAGTTTGTCTAATATTACTTGGAGTCAAAGTTACCAGCACAGAATCAGAACCTTCAGTCCAACTCGACTGTGCTGACCAGATATCCTAAATAAATCTAGTCCAATTTGCCAGCATTTGGCACATATCTCTCTCAAACCCTTCCTATTCATGTACCCATCCAAGTGACTTTTAAATGTTATAATTCTATCAGCCGCCATCACTTCCTCTGGCACCTCATTCCATACATGCACCATCTTTTGCATGAAAACGTTGCCCCTTAGGTTCCTTTTAAATCTTTCCCCTCTCATCTTAAACCTATGCCCTCTGGTTTTGGACTCCCCCAATCTGGGGAAATGACCTTGGCTATTCACACTACCCAGGCCCCTAATGATTTTATAAACTTCTGTAAGGTCACCCCTCAGCCTCTGACGTTCCAGGGAAAATAGCCACAGCCTATTCTGCCTCTCCCTATAGCTCAATCCCTCCAGACCCAGCAACATTCTTGTAAATTGTTTCTGAACCCTTTCAAGCTTCACAACATCTTTCCACAACAGGGAAACCAGAATTGAACACAGCATTCCAAAAGTGGCCTAGCCAATGTCCTGTACAGCCGCAACATGACCTCCCAATTCCTATACTCAGTGCACTGACCAATAAAGGCAAGCGAACCAAATGCCTTCTTCACTACCATTTTGGGTTCTAGGTTTGAAAAGATTGGTGGTTTGGAAAGTGTCTTCAGAGGAGGCTTGGTAGGTAGTCAACACTATTGCAATTGTATTAGCTGCGGAAGATTTGGGTAGGATGCCAATCAAGTGGCTGCTTTGTACTGATGGTGTCTAGCTTCTCATGTACTATTGAAACTGCTCTAATCCAGGCAATATTCTTTGGTAATGGTGATATTACTGAATTCCTCCCTCGTATTCGTTACTATTAATGGAATGTTCGAAGTATCTTTCACCGTAAAAGCTGATGTGAAACATCTGTTAGCTCCTCTGCTATTTCCTTGTTCGTAAAACAGTCTCCCCAGATTCGTTTTGTGAGTGGCTGACGTTCACTTGGACCACTCCCTTTTTATATATTTAAAAAAGCACATGGTCAGTTTTTAAAATTCCTTGCTAGTTTGCCCTCGTAGTTTATCTATCTTTGGTTCAGAGGGTGGTACTGGCAGATTTGAAGAAGAATGGGAGGGTTTCCAAGGAAATAACTGCATTTAAAAATGTATTAATACGAGTATATGAAAATGACTAACATTATGTCTTACATTACAGGGCATGCACTTATGGTACCAACATCAGGAAA